CCCCCCCCCCGGTCCGGAACTATTGAGGGCCCTAGACGTTTGCGCAGGTGCAGAAGGTAGTTCCGGTTCCGGTGTGACGTTACTAGTTCCCGGTGTTTCGTTGTGGTTGGTGGGCACTAACTGAGCCAACATGCTGCGAAATCTGCTGGTGAGGAGCTTCTCGGCTTGCAGTAGAGATGAGGGGCAGGAGGGTTAGGAGAGGAGGCTCGGGGACCGTGACCCACCAAAAAGCCGGTTCTGAAAGGGAAGGGGGGAGACGGGGGGAGGGGAGGGCGGCTGCTTAAGTCACCTTGCCCCGTGCCCTTTCCTCCCGACGTTGCTTTCCCTTTTCCCTGGCCCCAGGCTGCGCTTGGTGTAGGGAGCGGAGAGGCTGGGGAAGTGACCAGAAGGTTGTTGGTTGGACAAGCCTTGGTTTTTGCCCCTTGGCACCCTAACTCTTGAGGGCCATTGACGAGTTCATAGCTCTGATGCGAGTAAAACCAAGGTCCTGGTGGGAAGTTTCTGATACCCGGAAGCTTCAAAGATGTGCCTCTGACACTGAAAGGGTTTACGTTTCAGTGGTACTTAGCTTTGTGAGCATCAGAAGGCAGCTTAAAAAGCAAGCAGTTCAGTTTTGGATGGGACTTTTAGGAGCAGTCACGGCGGAAGTGTAGTGTTGCTTCCTTCAGAAGGTTCTGCAGTGCCCTTCACCCCTCCACCGACTTTGGGCATGTGAAATATTTCCCCAAATTTTCGAAAAGAAAAAGCAGTGATCACTTCCTTTTGTGATACTTCAGCAAGGTTTTACCTAGTTTCGTAATGTATTTTAGAAAATGGAGTATTTGTTTCATTAATTATTTAGTTCAACTGAGCGTGTAACGGATATATATTTCTAAAAAGATACCTTAAAATCTTTTTAGGAGAAATGTAATGAGAGAAGCATTTTAACTAAGTAGGAATTATGCTAGTTTATCTTGTAATAGGTTATCAGGTAATAGATTTTTAATATGGTAGAGTATTAAATGAAAACATTTGAGCTTAATGTATTTTGTAACCATTTTTTATTTTTGTGTATATATATCTATGTTTTCTTCAAGGATTCTATAATGGTACTGTTTCAATTCAGGTAAAGGTCGTGGTTTTGTTTTTTTTGTTGTGTTTCTGCTGAGAGTCAGCATGAATTGCTTCTGGAATGTGGTCTTTGGAGACTGCAGAATATAATAAAAAGGGCAGAGGATGAACAACAAATTGGAAAACCTGGATGTTGGTTTAAAACTTTGTTACTGACAAATTGGGTATATTTTAACCCTCACTTTCCTCCTTCTATAGTTGTAAAGACATGGTTGGTTTTGAAGGTTTTTGTAAGCCCTCAGTCTGTTTAATATGTGTGGATTTTCCATTTCAGGCTCTTCGTCAGATTGCGCAGAGGACCATAAGTACTGCTTCACGCAGGCAGTTTGAAAATAAAGTTCCAGAGAAACAAAAGCTGTTTCAGGTATTGAAATATTTTATGAGATTGTTACTTATAATAATATAGGGAGCAAATCTGGAGATATCTGATTATTAGTGATCCTGTTGTATTAGCAAAAGAATAATAAGAAACTGTCTATTGAGAGTTAACAGAGCATTTGCTGTATCCAGGATGCCCTTGAGGAAGCAGAAGAAATGAGAGGAAAAGGGTATATATAGGTCAGGGACACTTTCTTTGGAGGAGTTACATTGGGTGACACTCTGCGGGGTAGTTGCACAGGAATAGGTAAATAGACCATAGAAAGGGGCCAGAAACAACAAAAAAGTACATATATGATAAACTTAATACATATTAAAGGTGCTATTTTATATCAGTGGAAAAGGGTACAATTAGTTGGTATTGGAAAAATTGGTTATTTTAAAGAAAGTAGAGTTACATCCCTTTTATAGTGTATATTAAAAGGTAAATTGCAAATATAAATGCCTCTTAAATTAGAAGAAAATACAGGAGATACTTCTTTTTCTCACCAATTTTGTTGAGATATGTGGACAAAAATTGTATATGTTTAGGTTGTACCTAATTTTTCTAAGGTGTACAATCTGATGTTTATTGTATCTGTTATGATTACCACAGTCAAGTTAATTAACACATCCATTACTTCATGTAGGTATTTTCTTGTGTGGATGTGTAAGCAATTAAGAAATACTGTCTTAGTAAATTTCAAGTATACAATACAGTATTATTCACTACTATAATCCCAGAGGAGAATATTTCTTACAATTGTAGGAGTGAGAAGGCTTTCTAAGAAAGCTTTAAAGGAGAAAACCTGCAAGGTTTGGTGACATAAAAACTTAAAATGCACTTATGGTTACAAAAGACAAGTAACAAATTGAGAACAAATTTAAAAAATATAACAAAGGTTAATGTCCTTCATATACAAAGAATTTCTACAAGTCAATTAGAAATGCAAATTAAATTACAAGCTACTAATTTCCCCTCCTACAATTGTCAACATTTTAGAAAGATTTAAAATAGGTTATGTTAGCTAGGTATGGGAGATAGGTACATTCATACACTGTATTTTGATACATGCTAGGTAGTAGTATAGTTGATACAAAAATTTTAGAGGGTATTTGAAAGTATTATTGAGAACAAATTACGTACCCTATCATCTAGGACTCCCATTTGTAAGAATTGTTCCTACAAAAATAGTAGCATAAAAATAGTATTTAAAAATAGGAAAGTATTTAATAGTATTTAAAAAGTAGTATTTAAAAATAGGAAAAAGGCTGTTTATTATGGGATTTTAATATCAGAAAACCCCAATAACCTAAATACCCGTAAATAGAGTACTGGCTAACTCTATTATTATATTTTTGCACAGTGGAATGCTAGCTAGTAGCCATTAAGAGGAAACAAGGTAGGTTTAAATGGACTGAAAGAAAATGCTTTTTAAGATAATGTGAGCAAAAAATAATATGTGGTAGATCATTATATAGCATAACCTCATTTTGTATTTTAAGCACATAGGTATATAAATTAAAAGATAATGACAGTATAAGCAGTAAAAAATCTTTAAGGGTATGTACCATGCTGTTAATTGTGGTTTTCTCATGAGGGACAGACTCAGTGGGATAGAGTAGTTTACCTCTGTAAGTAGTTAGATTGTCAGTGAGTTTTTTGGTTTATTGTGATCTCTTTTTTTGCAAAAAAAATTTGAAGTGATAAAAAGTTGGATCATCTATACTATATAAAAATAGAATAGTTATATTTAACAGATGTATTAAATATCTACTCTGTGCCAGGTGCTGAACTAGGAGCTAAGGCTATGATTTAGGGTTATAAACCCAAACCCCCCCTTTCCTCTTTTTTTTAAAGAATAAAAAATCATCTCTTTCATTGAATCTAAAATGTGATGATTACTGATATTTTAAATTAAATTGATGAACTCAATATATTTTCATAGCATTAACATTTATATTTTATATATTCCATGTAAAGAACATCTTTATTGGAGGTCACATTAACTTTAAAAGAAAGAATGTTGACTTTAGAAGTTTTTATTTTAAAAGTATTAGTAGTAATAGAGAATCAGGAAAATTGTAGTTCTTTTTAATTTTGAAATTCAAAATATTTTTCGACACTCTAACCACTAAGAACACCAGCCAGGGCAGGAGCCACTTAATTTTATATGAATGAGTCTTTTGAACTTAGTTGGAAACAAATAACACATGTATTATTTATTATTATTATTTTAACCTAGGAGGACAATGGAATTCCAGTGCATCTAAAGGGTGGGGTAGCTGATGCCCTCCTGTATAGAGCTACCATGATTCTTACAGTTGGTGGTAAGACATTTGGAATGCTTGGTTTATAGAAAAATAATAGTAAGCGTAATTAACAATTTCATTGCTTTTACTATGCCAGTATTTTTGAAATATTATTTTATTATTATTAAGTTATAGGGGTGACATTCATTAATAAGATCATATGTTTCAAGTTTACAATTCTGTAATACATCATCTGTATATAGTGGTACCTCCATTTTTGAACTTCTCCATTGACGATCATTTCGGTTTACGAACACTGTAAACCTGAAAGTAAATGCTTCATTTTTCAAACATGCCTAGGAAGTCGAACATGCCACACAGCTTCTGCTGAGTGCAAGGTCCTGAGGCCTAGCTGTTGGCTGTTGACCCCTCGGTTTTCGAACTTTTCAGAACTTCAACAGTCTTCTGGAACAGATTACATTTGAAAACTGAGGTACCACTGTATAGCATTGTGTCATGTCGTTATTTTAACACAGGCAGTCTGTCTCCAGAGCCTGAGATCTTATTGCTTTGCATATAAGGATTCAAGAGGATGATTGGCACATATTGTATAAGAGCACTTTAATGTCTAAAAAATATAACAATAAAGTTTGACGATTATCTTTTGATAGAGGTGACTTTCCATTATGCCACTGGTGGCCCTGTAGGCCTTTGGATGAATCAAAGACATCCATCCACTCTGCCCTCTCTCTTCTAATGGGCTTTTAAACATTTTGCCTGTGATGCACAATAAAAACATTTTACATCTCAATCCTGTACACAATTTATGACAAAACCTGTATAGACCAGTACTTATTACTATAGGCAGAGTACTTTGACATTTTTTTGTGTGGATTGGGTAGGTCCATTATTCAGCATTAGCAGTGGAATACACAAATTGGTATACTAGAATCAGAGTTAGGAATTTGAATGATTGCTCTCTGGGGTAGGAAGGAAAACAATATTAGAGCGATTACTGTGTGCTTATCTATTGATAGGAAAGTGCCACATACATGGATTTCTGTAACCCTTGTATTAAGTCTATAATATGTCCTATTTTAACATGAAGAAATTATGTTAATTACCCAAGATAATATTTATTGCTTCTGTATGGAAAAGCTGGGATTTGAGCTCTAATTACAAAGCCTCTCTGCTCTTGCCAAGGTGCCTTGTTTGGAGTGAGTTGAATACAGTGAAGGGATGTTTAAGGATGAACACAACCACCAGATAGTGACACTGGGCTTTCTTAAGATAAAGTCCTATGTTCTTTTTGTCCAATGTGACTATTTCTTATGTATTTTGGTAATTAGTTTTAAAAATAGATTTCTAGTTATTAGCTATTCTTACATTAAATTTGATTATTTTAAAATTATATACTATAGTTCCTTGGTTTTACATTGATAATACACTTTAGGGAAGGCTAGTGTGCTTTTACCTCTTTATTGGCATTTCTCAGGCAATCTTGGGTAAGTATGGAAATAATCTTCATATATGTTCTTAATCTTATTTAAAATATTTTTACATATTAAGTTGGAAAGTACATTATTGTGCTGCATCTAACACTTTGTATAGAAGTTAAGTATTATTGAAACTAGAATAAATAAATATATTTTAAAATTTGCCAGCACCTATCAACATACTTTTTTCTGTTCCCATAAAAGTAATCTTATTGCCAGCCTTGCCTTTATCTTACAACTTTTAGTTGGAATATTAGATTTATACATTTAAATCTTAGAATTTCTTCTAAATTCTTCTTTTGGTTCTTTTTATTTTTTAGGAACAGCATATGCCATATATCAGCTGGCTATGGCTTCACTTCCCAAGAAGCAGGGTTGACTTCAGTTATCCTCCCAACAATCAGTTGGTTCAGTTCATTCAGATCTCTATGGACCAGTAAGCTGATAAATAACAGTTCTTCTTTGGGGATCAATATTTATTGACTTGTACTAACTGCCACCAATAAAGCAGTCTTTACCATGTTTTGTCTTATTTTATCAAACTGTAGTATACATATACCAATAATTTTCAGCTTTTGGTCAGTCTTACAAATTTTAGGTAAGGAGCAAAAAATTATTCTTTCATTAAGGTGGTATAAAGTACCATTGTGATTTTTTTTTAAGTGAAATTTTATTTTTAGCAGCTCAAAATTACACAGTGGCTTGTCTTCAGCTTTAATTGAGCTTGACACTTGTAAGTCCCACCCTCAATGCATTACATACTGGGATATGCTAAAACCTGAGGTTAGAGGAAGCAGACTGTTTTTGGCTCATGGGGTTCAAGTTTCTTATTTCCTCTTTCTTAGCTATGTGAGCATATACTTAAATATTGGATGTAATCTACAGTTTAGAATTAGGTTTTAGTAGAGTAGCTGTAAACTAATTCAGTATTATATTTTTTCACACTCAGAATGGGTTTCTGCTGTGTTTCTTTAATCCATAACATAAAGTGTAATTTTCCTTACTTAATTCATTTCTAAAAGTTATCTTCTCGGGGAACCTAAAGGAGTTAGACTCTGTCATGATGCAAGGTGTACATTTGTAACACTATATAAAGATTAGAGTCTAGATGCATCACATCTAGGGGAAATCTGTAAGTGAGGGTTTTATAATAAACTGCAATGTCTGGATAAAATTGATAAAAGTTGTATATTTAGAGAAATTGAGTCAAATCTGAAATAGCTAAACTAAGCCTTATTCTTATTAAAACATTGAGGCTTAGGGTACAGATCTATTTCAAAAGGTACCTAAGGAAAGGTTTTTCAGCTTTGAATTTTCAAGGTTGGGAAAGGTTCTTGGTAGCCATATTATAAAACTGGCCACTGAGTATATGAATCTATTGAACTCTGACGGTCTTACTTCTGACATCAGCAGAGAACACTGCTTTTGAAGGGAGTGGAATAAATATCATTAGACATTTCTAGATGCTGAGAAAGTTCTTAAGATGGTTTGGAATCTAGTTCAATTCAGTGATTCAGAGCTAAAAACCATTGATAATATTTTAAAACAAGTTATATTTATCGGCATCTTATAAGGAATTTTATAAACATGATTGAATTGTTTTTATGACGTGAGAGATACTGTTGTAAAGTAGAAAGGAAAAACAGTTTGATATCCTCTACACACTTCATGTCTTGATATTATGAGAGACCCTTTACTATTTCTGGTGTAAACTAAGGCAATTTATAAAACTTTTATACCAAAATGTTGTTTGGGCTATGTTAACATGGCAACCTTGGATAAAGTACAAGTAGATTAAATGCCTAAGATGCTTAAAAATGTCTTGCTAAGATTGAATATTTGCCTTTTACCCTAAAATTCTGCATTGTAAGTAGGAGTGGAGATGGGAAGGTGGGTGTGGGGCAGGATCGTGGGAGAGGGATAGCGATAGCTGAATACAATCCTGTGAAAATGTCTGCTTAGCGTTTAGTAGTTACTGTTACTCATAGATTTCAAAGACTGACCAAAAGCCCATGAGAAATATTGTATTGAAAGTGTGGCCTTCAGGAAACAAAACCACCTTCATTCCAATCTTTTTATCTAACCACACATTATGCTTTTGAGAATAGTGTGTTATTAAATAGAAGAAATTTCATGATGATGTTATCCCACTGATATAAACACTATGGGAGGGAGATATATTTAAGTGAACTTTTCTTAAAATTAGTACTGTGCAGGTCCTGGCCGGGTAGCTCAGTTGGTTAGAGCATTGTCCTGATCCACCAAGGTTGTGGGTTCAAGCCTAGGTCAGGGCACATACAAGAATCAACCAGTGAATCCATAAATAAGTGGAACAGCAAAAAATCCATGTTTCTCTCTCCCTCCCTTCCTCTCTGCCTCTCTCCTCTTTCTCTCTGAAAGAATCAATTAATTAAAAGAAATAGTACTATGCACAAAGTTACATTTGTATTCTGTAGCTCTTATAGATGAAATTAAACGGTATTTATGGATGAAAAGGGCATGCAGTTTACCCAAAGCTACAAATAAATGGCAGCACAAAATTTCAGCGTTAATAGCAGTGTGTGCAAATATGACTACCCTGCAGACTTGCATCCCCTGTAGTCAAGCTTCTTAAAAGAGTGATCACTATACCTCCAGTTCCATTATTCAGTTTCACATTGATCTCTGCATAATTTGCAGTCTACCTACCTATTTAACATTTATCTCTCCCACTTTATGTTTGAGATCCAAACTCAGTGCTCTCATCAATGACCAGCTAGGGCAGTTTCACACTTTCATCCATGTCCTAGGTGACTTCTGTCTTTTAGCTCTGCTATCCTTAGGGTATGGCTTTCATTCTTGTAAGATGGCTGCTGTACTCCATCTGTTTTGTTTCCCTCCCTGCAGGAAGGATTGGCGAAAGAGCACATGCTAAATAAGCTCTTTAAGGAGCTTCAGAAGCCCCACACAAAGACTTTAGCTTGTATCTCTTTAGCCGGAACTTTATTACATGATAATGCCTGGACTCAAAGAGGCCAAGAAATGTTTTAGCTGGGCATATTGCCAGACAAAAGTGGAGATCTATTTAATGAGAAGGGGAAATTGGGTATTTAGTTGGCAACTAACAGCCTTTCCCCCATTGTTTTTTAAAAGAATGAAGTCAACACTGAGGGGATAGGACCTAGAAGCATTTCAGTTCCTAGCTGTACTTATTTCTGATGCCCACATCCATGCCTGTTCTTAGGCTTTGTTGCATTGTGATGGCCAACAATTTAAAAAATACGTCTTTATTGATTTCAGAGAGAGGAAGGGAGAGAGGGAGAGAGAGATAGAAACATCAATAATGAGAGAGTTGCCTCCTCCTGCACGTCCCTGACGGGATCGAGCCCGCAACCAGGACATGTGCCCCGACTGGGAATTGAACTGCGATCTGGATCCTAGGTTGATGCTCAACCACTGAGCCACCCCTGGCCAGACAGATGGCCAGTAATTTTGCCTTTTTTCTTGTTAGTTCAGGTAGGTTTTTCAGCCAGAAACCAACCAAAGCAGGATTTCCTGAGTTTCCCTCCTGTCATACCATCTAATAAAACCACAACTCATCATTTACCCTAAACCAGTGATTTTCAACCCGTGTGCCGCAAGATTTAAAAACATGCAATACCTGACTAGTCAGGAACACTAACCTCTTTTCCCTTAGATTGTCAAAAGGACAACAGCCAACACATTCAGTGTGAATGAATCAAAATTATACTTTATTTTTGGTCAAATCAGCAAAAACTACATTTCTTGGTGTGCCACAGAATTTCAGTAATTATGTGTGTCATGAAATGAAAAAGGTTGAAAATTGCTGCCCTAAACAATAGGTGCTTAATAAATGGTAGCCGTTACTGGTTTCTCATAGCAAGACTGTTTCAAAAAGACTTACTTGGGGAACACAAATGCAAATAGATACAGAGAGTACACAATGATAAAAACAAGAATTATAATGCTGCTGTAGCCAGATGGCTTTAGGTTTGCAGAACTCTTCCTGCTATTTGATATAGTTGTGCACAAGTTCCCCAAAGCTGGCAATTTCACAGGCTCCTAGCTTGGGGACTCCCTTTTCCTGGGCCTTGGATTCATGTGGAGAGCAACATCTTGTTATCCACTACCCAGCACTTTTATATATACATCAAACTTACTAATTCGAGTTAATAGATATTGAATGCCTACTGTGTGCCAGACACTATTGTAGGTGCCTGGGAATCCTTGGTGAACAAAGTGTGCCCTCAGAGTTTACATTAGAGTGAAGGGTGGCAGGGAAGACCGTTAAAAGAGTGTAAAAATAAATTGTACAGTATGTTAGAAGGTATATGACCTATGGGGACAAAGACCAAGGGGGAGAGCTGGCATGGGAGTGGGGTATGATTGGTTGCAATGCAATAGTGACTAAGGTGTGAGTGTAGGCTTCAATAGGAAGGTCAGATTTAAATAGACTAGGCAAGGGAGCTAGTCAGTCAGATAAAAGGGGGAAAGGCATAGGAAGAGGGAACAGCTTAGAGCAAATACCTTAAGGTGCCTGGCATGTTCAAGGAACAGGAAGGCAAGAGTGGTTATTGCTGACTGAGCAAGGGAGATGTCAGAGGTAAGGAGGGACCACACCAAGTAGGACTTTGTAGGCTATTCGTGAGGACTTTGGCTTTTACTTTGAGTGATACAGGGAGCCCATTTAAGGGTTTCTCACAGAAGAGAGACATGTTTTATATAGGATTAGGTTGGCAGTTGTGTTGAAATAGACCATAGGGGACCCAGGGGAGAAGCAGGCGGACCTGCTAAGAAGCCTACGGCAGCAATCCAGGTGAGAAATGGTGGCGGCTAAGAACAGGTGTTAGTCATGGTGGGCATGAAAAGTCCGATTATGAACAGGAGGATCTTTATCAGCCACCTAGACTTTGCCGTTTCTCAGCCATCCATCCAACAATTACTTATTGAAAGCCTACTCTGTGTGAGGCACAGTTGTAGGCTCTGAGAACACAACTGTGAACTTGACCCACACACTCCATGGAGCTTACTTTCTGGTCAGTAGAGACAGACTGATTTATAAGCATGATAAAGGTCTACAGTGGGAACTGCTATGCAGGAATCGACAGTGTGTGATACCAGGAGAAATGGTGGAGTGGAAGCTGGAAAAGGCCTCAAAGGAAGGGACATTTGAACTAAGACCAGAAGAAAAGAAGCCAGCTGTGCTATAAGTCTGGAGAAAAGCATTTCAGGGAAAGGGAAATTGCTTTGCATGGTTGAATTACAGAAAGACCAGTGTTGTTAGAACATAGGGAGCTGGAGAAAGAAAACAGCAATTATAATCTCTTCCCCAGAGACTAGCATAACAAATGGCCATGTCCCTACACACAGGGTCTAGAATCCATCTTTTCTGGTTTCATATTATTCATCACATCTGGTAACCATAGTATTGATTTAACAAGAAGTTTAAACATAAACTAATATGGACATTCTATCCCAGCCGGTTACTACTATTATCAAGAACCAGAAGCTGAGGAAATATAGTTAGTGAGAAATCAGACAGCAATTATTTTGAACTAGATTTCAAATCGAGTTGTCTTATTTTGAAACCCACTTTTAAAAAATCTATGTACCATGTTACTTCCTAGATGAGGAAAGAAGAAAGAAAACTATTTAGGACAACTTTACTGGTTGATTCCCTTACAGACTTGATTCTGTTTGAATACTGTTGTTAATTGGTTAAGTTTGGTAAATCCCCATCTTAATGACTGGCAATTTTTTATTCTCTCTCTTCTTTGATTCCCATGAAGCTGCCATGTATCTGTTTGGTAGCCCATCTCTATTGAAATGATAGTTTTACAGCTGATACTGACCTTTTTTTTTTCTTTAAAGCAACTTTTTAAAGTCAAGGATACATTTTGAAGGTCTCATTAATGAGGAAAACCAGTCAAAACCCAAGACAAATTGTAAAGTTTAATCCTAGTATAATACCCCAGAAGGGGGAAAATGATTAAGTATTTACAATTTGATTGATTGGAAACTAGAGAGCTGTCTAATGAAATGGTGATTTCAAAGCATCGGTGAAATCTGCTGGAGGAAGAGGAACTCATAATACTAGATTTTGAAGCCTTAGTACTAGAATAGAGTGTGTGTGTGATTTCCTTGAATTCCGAGATTGTGTGACCTCCTTTATTGACCTCTTGAAGGCCATTATCTTCCCTCTGGGGAGTTGCTTAAAAAAATGCGCTCTCGGCATTATCCTGATGATTAAAGGCTGATGTCCTCGTTTGACTTGCTACATCTGTTTCCAGGCCATTTTGCCTCAATTAATGCACTTAGCTGAAACATGCATGGCCATTAACATTGGATGCTTTACCCATAGTGCTTTTTCTTAAGACTATCTGCTTTGGGAAATCAGTATGTGATTAACCATTTTGACTGTTTCAGTAAAAAAAATACATCTTTACAGGTTGGTCATTTTTCCACCTTGATTTTATCCTAATGCTATCATAATGATTTTTTAAAAAGATTTCTTTCGCATTAGTTGGAACATAGTAAGAAGAAATAGACCATAAATTCCTGTCATGCATGAGGAGCTAGGAGTCTCTTTTTTTGATTACCTCTGTTGATATTTATCAATAAAAGTCTAGACAAAGGGCAATTAACAGAATCCCTTCACAGGATTGAAAGATAGAAAAGCAAACAAAATAAAAAGATACATTTCTCAAGAAGCAGTTTTGAATATCAATTTATTTTTCAAGTCTTTAAAGATATTTTATGCTGATTTCCCAAAGTGGCAGCAGCCTAGCTTAAGTAATAAATTTGTGATAATTGGTTTC